TCCATTGAAGTGATTGACTTTCTGATGGATCTTGGTTTGAGGCCTCTTTGGTTCCAAGATGCTGCCATAATGACAGAATAACAGGGGTGGGAAGGGACCTGTAAGGTCTTCTAGTCCAGGGGTCCCCAACCTTTCTGACCTCTAAATTTGTAATTTTAAGTCCCCCGGGACCACTAATATGATCTGCCTAATGACCATCTGGGTGGATGTGGCTGGCTGGTCATGTGACTGGGTGGGCGTGGCCAACTCGATGTCACTGATGTTGGGTGCCTTGCCAGCCTCTACTCGCGCCTCCACTCCCAGCCCCTCCTCACCTACCCAGTGCCCACCCAGGCTCCTTAGGGCCCCAACAGGAGGCAGTTGCTGGAGCTAAGCAGCCACCAGGAGAAAGAGTTGGCAAAACAGCTTAGTTCAAATTGGATCTGACCAAGAAGGAGGTTCAGCAGAAGCACCCCACTGAGGACTAGGAGCATAGGCTTTCCAAGCAGAGGGAAGCCCTGCGGGAGTGTAAGGCCAGGTGCCACTGCCCGGAGGCTCAACGGGCTGAGATGGTGAGCCAGTTCCAGGCCATGATGCCGTCCCACTGGAATGAGGCCCTCCGGCTCTTCGCCACCAGCAACGCCTCCCTCCAGCCTTTGCCCAAAGCCCCCCACCAGGAGGCTGAAGCAGACCCCCAGTTGGAATTTCTGCCCCCCCCCATAAAAAGACCCCAAAGGGGGATACTCTCTGCAGCAACACAAGCGTTCATTGCATGTATCTGGCCCAGGGGGGAATAGTTTGAGGACCCTTAATTTAGTGCAATATAAAAAATGCAAATAATTTTTCTGCGGACCACCAAAATTTTCTCGCAGACCACCAGTGGTCCACGGACCACCAGTTGATATCCGCTGTTCTAATCCAACCCCCTGCTCAGGCAGGAGACCTTACACAATTTCAGACAAGTGGTTGCCCAGTCTGATTTTGAAAACCTCCAGGGATGGAGCCCTCACAACTTCCGTAGGGCAGTTGTGCTCTGTTGTAATATAGTTCATTGTGTAGGTGTGTGTCCCCCATGGCCCAGTTCATACCAGGGCATGCAGAGCCANTTTCCTTCCTTCCCTCTCTTCCTTTCATTGACTTTCCTTCCCTCCCCTCTCTTCTTTCCTTCCTTCATCCCTCCCTTCCTTTCATTCACTATTTCTTTCCTTCCCTTCCCTCTTCCTTCCTTTCATTCACTTTCCTTCCCTCTCCCCTCTTCCTTCCTTCATCCCTACCTTCCTTTCATTCACTATTTCCTTCTCTCTCCTCTCTCCTTCCTTTTTTCATTCACAATTTCCTTTCATTGCCTCCCTTTTTCCCTTCATCCCTTCTTTTTATTCACTATTTCCTTCCTTCCTTTGCCTCCCACCCTTCCTTCTCTCTTTCACTCACAATTTCCTTCCCTCAATTCCCTTTCTTCCTTCTTCCCTCCCTTCCTTTCATTCACTATTTCCTTCCCTCTCTCTCCTCTCTTCTTTTACTCACAATTTACTTCCCTAACATCCCTTTCTTCCTCCTTTCCTTCCTTCCTTCATCCCTCCCTTCCTTTCATTCACTATTTCCTTCCTTCCCTCTCCTCTTCTTTCATTCACTATTCCCTTCCCTCATCTCCCTTCCTTCCTTTCATTCACTATTTTTTCCTTCTTTCTGTCTCCCTCCTTCATTCCTTCCTTCCCCTCTCCTCTCTGTTCTTTTCTCCTTTCTTTCTTCCCCTCCAGCTTCTTCCCCTCCTCTCTTTCTTCCTTCCTTCCTTCCTTCCTTCCTTCCTTCCCCATTCCCAACTGTAGTTAAAGGAATGCGTGAATTCCTTCTCCGGCCTTTGCCAAGGGCTGCATTTGAACTGAATGTACAGATTTTCCCCCTCTTCGTGCAATAAAAAGTCTTCATCCACAGCTCCACTTCTGCCTCTCTTCTCATCCTTTGGGAGACCCCAGCATCGGGAGGAGGGTGGGTGGGTGGGTTTGTTCAAACCAGGAGGGACCAACAACGGTTAAGATTCCCCTCTGCAGGACTTCCATCTGGAAAGATAATCAGCCCCACGCCCCCCACCTTTCCCTCTTCCTCCTTTTGTTTGGAGCCCGGAGCCCCCTCCTCAGACTTCTCCCCATCCAGGTATTTCAGCTTTGGCACCCTCCCCGGGGTTTTTGTTTCCCAGGGCACGCGGATCTTGGCTTGTTCAGACTCGCTGGCCTGGTGTGTATTTAGCGGTTGGGTTCGGCCATATAATTAAGTGGGCTCAACCTTCTGCTTGGCTGAGCATCTGGCCCGCCGGCTCCCTTCCCTTCCCCAGCTGTGACAAAGACCTCGTGAGCCCTCCAACACTGGAGGCTTTTCACCGGACAGCCGTGTGTCCGGAAGGATAAAAGGAGTCTTCGACTTACGACCACAATGGAGGGCCCGGTTTCACTTTGTGGAGGGAGGAATGGGTTGAGTTTTGCCCCGTTTTGCATCTCTCCCTTGGCACATTTGCTAAGTGAATCACTGCAGTTAAGATA